ATGCTATCAAACCAGGTGAAGAATGGTCCCCTCAATGGGGACAGGTAGACCAGAGCAGCAGTTTTAGAGCTTGAAGTCCGCTTACCTGCTTATTGATGCTGCCCTTCCCCGCGGCCTTTGGGACCTGAACGTTTTGCTGAATTCCTGAGAGATGACAAGGTGTGCTGCTGAGCAAGTTTTCCTCCTTTCTTCTCAAACTTCATCAATCCCAATGATGACTGAATTTTAGGGTTTTGTTCACTTAACCAGCTAATAAATAACAAGCAATTTGGAGTTGGCGTTAATCTCTGATACTGTTGCACTGAAATCAAGTAAAAAACACCAGCAAAATTTATTTCCAACTACGTCCCAGGGCATCTCCTTCACCACTGACAGAACAGGCAGCAGGTACTCACAACCTTCTGCAGTGAGGTCCCTCAAACCCTTCTCCACCTAGGTACAGCATCTGAAGTCAAACAAGCTTGTCCTCATTCAGATCCCCTGTAACAGAACCACCTCCCTCTCCCGCCACAGTGAGCTCTCCAGCCTCGGGCAATTGCCTCAAGTCCCTTCATCTCCCACCATTTATAGCTCGCCCTGAAGGTCCTCCTGCACCCCAGCTCTTAAATCATGCCCTTGCCAGCCCTGGAGACCCTTGGCCTCAGCTCTGACAAGAGAAGAAAACCACCTCTTTGCTGCTGTTTGCCTCCCAAAGCAGTGAGCCACCTGCTTCCCCACTCCTTTCTGTCCTACGGCTCCCCCAAGCCCAAGCCCCCCTCTCCACCACGCCAGGGCACAATGGGTCTCCTTGTGCAGGCGCGGGAGCTCCTTCTCTTGGAGGTTTTCAGGAGAAGAGAAAACCACTGCTAATCTCCATCTGTCTGCCCTCACTCAGCTGGGTACTGCTGGGAAAGCAGTTTTGCTCACACGAAGCAACCTGTACGCAGTCCCCATTACGTACAGGGGAGCGAGGCAGGGGCTCAGCCAGCCGGCGGCACGGCCCGGCCCTGACGTGGGGCTCCCAGGCCTCAACCAGTGCAAGGGGAAAGAGGTTACACGGGAGAGGTACTTGTGCTTTCACACTGCTACGGCTCTTTTCTCTCCCGCCATCTGGCAGCTCACCCACGCCTAACGCAGGATGCAGGCTCTGGGTGGCCGCAGCACCCTGAGCAGCATCCCCTGGCAGACGTAGGGTCTGCATGGAGGCAGGAGAGCATGGAAAAGGCGTATCCAGAGCTGTTGTGGAAAAATCAGAGCTGGGAACTGGAGAAGGAATGTCAAGGCTCAGGACAACTGCTGCCAAAGTTCAGTTTTCAGCTTGACGGTGCAACAAATTGATGTTTTTGGCTGCGAAGATTTTGGGCCAAAATTCACCTGTGATCAGCTGGTTCATACTATGTCTTTAAACAGAGTCAGACTCAATACAAAAATCTGCAGTTCAAGATTTGAAAGTTTTTCACTGGAATGTCAATGTCTTTTTTAGCCTGGCTACTTCTAAATTGGGTAGAAAGCGTCCAACTGCAAATCCTCAGCTAGCAGCAGGACATCCAGATTGTCCTTGAAATGTCAAGTAACATGATTTGTACTCTAAGTAATTCACTTCTTTGAGGTTCTGACTGTTGATATATCGCTACCAACAGAGTATACGGCATTACAAGAGAACAACATTTTGTACCTCGAAATGTCTTGACTTCAAAGCGTTTAAACTTTATAAACAAAGAGACATAGCCTCAGTCTAGCACCAAAGAAAGCAATTTATGTAAGCAGAGAGTCTGGAACAAATAATTAAAACATGAGACTAAACAAAAACATTTGTGAGTTTGTTGAAACAACTTTGAAATATAAACTCATTTTTTCTGTGTATATTTATTTGCACTGTACCTAAGGGTGCCCTCTGAGCGTGTTGTTTCTTACTTGTGTTGCATTTGGAAGCACGTCAGTGGTAGCCACCATGGAGCTCGCTCTGCAGGCTCTTTTCCCGGCGTGCCCATGCCTCACCCCAGAGGCAGCCCGGATGGGCCAACCCCTCTTCCAGCTGAGTGCAGACTTTTACTCTAGACATCCAGGTGAAATCCTGCAGTAGCACACTGCAGCTCCTCTCAAGGCCACAGCTCCACAGTGAATGCCTTTCCTTCTCTTCTGTGATCTATTAGAGCTGTGCAGGATTTCTAATCAGTCGTCTCCCCCAAAACTGTTGCAGACGATACACCCCATTTTAACGCCTTCCATCGCACCCCAGCAAGCCACAGATCGCGGCAACGCGCGGTTGCGGTTGGGAAAGACGCTACTTCACTGATTTGTCTTCTCGTCCCGCAGGAGCTGAAGGGTCAAGGATCCCCTCCAGGGATCGCAGGGTTTACACCCGGCAAGACACGCAACTGCAGCTTGTGGCACCCGAGCAGTAGTGAAGTGCAGCTCGCCTCACGCCAGCGTAGCCGAAAGGGAGCTGCGGGACGGCGTGTCGCCAACGCTGCTGTGATTCCACCCGCTGCTCACCTGAAGCTAGCGGTGCTTGCTGACCTCTAGCTCCTTGGCCGCGGTCACGAAGGAAAAGGCGCCGCCGAAGATGTC